CCTCCGCGAAGGACCTACAAGTGTTTGCTTTCAAGTATTAACAAGAACGTTTGCGTTACTTTTCTTTGACAATCGTGAGCTTACAAGGAAATGGTAATTTTTTATTTTCGTTTAGGAAAATTATTTCCCTTTTGCGACTCCCCGGTCCAATTTGAATTTTATAATTCCCAATTTAGCATCTCATTACGAACGCGAATCTAGATATTTTTTAACACTTTACACGATACAATTCAAAGAACTCGAATGAAACGCATCAATTTATTTTATATTTACGAAATTGTAAATATATACTTGAAAATGTATTCCTCATTGTATATACTTCACCCAACATTACAAATAATAATTGTATGTAACTGCAAATGTATATAAATGTTTCTATTACGTTCCAGTTATCAAACATCTCGTTTGAAGTGTTAAAAAATACGTAGCTGCTTTCTGTTCTTGGACGATACAATAGAAAATTATAAAATTCGATTAAAAATATTGCAAAAAATATCGTTGTTTAAATTGACATCACCTCCACTGTAATTGCAGCTCAAAATCGATTCCATTCTAACAGCGAACACATTCTCAAATTAATACTTTGAAACTTTCAACATTTACATAGACACTATTTACAAAAATAGTTTTGTGTCGGCAACTACTATTCTAGAATGTACTTATACTCGTTATCTTCTATAATTTGCACGCAGTCCCATTCAAAAAACACTCGTCCTTATCGCAGACTTCTCTTACGAGATAATAAATGCCGTAATAATTCCTTGTTTCTCTTAGACTTTGATTGCGTCGAAAAGATTCGAGTAAGGGGTGAAATTGTTTCAAGACCAAGATCTCTGTGGGGATTAATATAAAATCCGTAGCTTGTACAAAATCCGCCTTCCAATGGAATGTAAGTCAACTTTGCAACCATCGAATGTATAGCAAAATTAAGAGAGGGATATGCTTGCAAAGTCTTTTATAAGCATTGGACAGCAAAGTTGTCGTGATCCGTAGACCCATCATCCTTTCAAATGTTGAACCTCTTTCTCCACTCTTGTGTACATACGTTATTACTTCTTCTTGTAGCGATGGATCGGAAGATAATCGAGATAATCAAGTGTTCCACTCTAATCTGATTCTTCAATCGTGAGGTCATCACGTTTAAAGTTTACAAAGTAATATACACTATTACTTTTGTCTATAGTATAGCGATACGTCGGAACACCTCTTTCATCGAACAACTCGATTGTCCTTGTTACTCGTTAGATAATCATTTAACAATATTCTACCGTGTTCTAGCGTGTAACTTGCTTCTACACTCTTCTGAGCATTAGAACATCTTTTGGAGCGTTGAATCTATATTTCTCCGTTTTTGTGTTCATCGCGTTTAGAGTTTACGAAGTACACGCGTTATTTCGCAATAGTATCATGGATACATCAGTACCTCTTCCACCCGATCTGTTCTAGCGTTGGAGTGTTTATTAAATTCCGATTATCACGTATAGAATCGACAAAGTATATACATATGCTATTACTTCCTTTTACAGTGATACATCAGAACATCCCTATCAAAATATCACTCCAACGCCATCGTTACAAATTAAACGATCATCCACCAATTCTCTATTGCTGAAGTGTTCGGTAGAATCTAACCTGCTTCTATGCTCCTCCGATCATCGCGTTTACAGCTTACAAAGTACATTAAAACTCTCTTTGCAACAAATCGCTCCAATTCTCTCGTTAGAAAACATATGAAACAACATTTCTGACAGACGAATACGATCACCAGACCTGTCTTCATAGTTCCGCGAGATCTTGATACAATTTCACCCCCAAAGCGTTTCAAATCCCTCGTTACCGCTTTTCGAGAACAGAAAGGAACAATCGCGGCATTTGTTCGTTGAAGGACAGCCTCGTGGCACCGTGTCCAGACATAAACTGCTGCGTCGAATGACCGTCTAACGACGTTGCAGTTAAATGCTCGTCCAGGGTACCTCGAGGCAAGGTGGTACGCGCGAATCGAATCTAACGGAGGCTCTTCATCGTTCTGTAGCAAGTCTGCTGTCGGAAGTGTAACGGGTGAAGAGGGTGCGCTCTACGTGAGTCTTCAAAGGTCTCTTCGGGGCCTTTGAAACCGCGAAGAAAATTTGACTAATAGGAACCGTGGGTCGCGTGCATGTGAACTTCGTGCGCGCGTGCACGTGGACAAAGCGTCTCGTAATCCAAGAAGATTCGAGGATTGGACTCAGAAGAGGTCCTTGCACGTGGTTCGTCGCTGGACGCCTGGAAACGTCTTTCAAAATCGTACTACTCGCTGCTCACTGGGACGCACCAGGTATGTTACACTTGGAACGCGAAAGAGTTTCACAAAACGCACCAGTCGCTGAACACACTTCGCGTTCGTCTATTGAGATACGTCTTTATGGATCACGTTACCAGAACATACTAGCATTCTCTACGCGCTACAAAGTGCTCGACGCTCCAACTCCTAGGCGGCTGATGCTCCGCGTCGATACAAAGTTGAGGAATCTTGGTAACGGATCCGAAAAACGTGTCCGAGGGACGCAGGAACGGCACGCGGATTCGCAGATCGTTCGACAGAGTTCATTGAATAGTCTAGGCACTGGATGCTTTATATCGAGACCAACCGTGGCAGTATGGCTTCTTGATATTGTCTGTTATAGAGGCCACCGGGCGTTAACTTCTTCTATTACTAGCACTAGTAATAGAACTGCTAGCTGCACTATAGTAATAGTGCTAGCACTATGATGCTATCCAGGATGTACAACGACTCCACAGACTTTACAGTCAGCGTTCGAACAGTCGTATCGTATAGTTGTACAAATAATTGTGCCAATGATCGTTACGTTTGCGACCTCTTACCAGCGAACTGCGAGGCCAGGGTGTCGTTCCAGGATCAACGAGACGCTCTGCACCCCGTGCACGATGACTCGTTGCGAGTCGACGCAACGATAGGACGTGGATCGTCGAGTGGCTCGACGATCAGAGGCTTCGGAAAGAAAGTGTACCTATGGACCACGATCGGACTGGCCTCAACCAGACCGTCGTCGTTGAAAATTCGTGCTAAATCCGTGCGCGAGTGCGTGTACGCGTGTGCCTTTATTCGATCGGTAGAAGAAAGAGGAATCGTTAAACGAGCTACTTGCGCTATGTCAGAAGCAGGTGCGTCGTTCTCTCGACAAGCTCGAGCTACAATCTACCAAAACGATATTTGCTTCGTCTTTATCTTACTTATCAGAATCTTTCGGCGGGCCACCTTGAACGCCAGGCGGCTTAGCTCGAATTCGAAATCGGGGCTGACGAAACGACGCGGACACTCGCGGTCCGCTCGGCGGTCCGAGACAGATTTTTAAAAATTCTTGGTTACGGGAAAGTTAAGCTATCAGCGCGCCAGAGAATCGCGAGCGGATGCCGCGAGTCGTCGCTCGTCAGGCCCAGGAATTAAGATTAACTAACGACTACGTAGAAGTGAAAACGTCGAGCCTAACGATCACAGCTATTGTACGATACTATGAGTGCTTAACTGTCGCGGAGAAACGAATAATCGGTGGTATGTGTGTACGTAAACGGTACGGAGAATCGATTATCAAAAGACCTTACGAGCGATATCTCGCGAGGAAGCTAATCGGTGTCGCGTGGGGCACGCTCTTTTCTCTCGATCGCGTCGTTCGAGCGAACCTCGAACGCGTTTGGACGCAGAACGATAGAAAAAACATGCGTGTACGGGTATGTGTTTGTATATTGGTTGTATGTGTTTACGTATATACTTATAAAATTGATCCTACGAAGAGTTTGTCTCGCACCGGTGCGTCGACGGGGTTTGAAAGACCTGATCTTTCGCTTTGTAAGCATTTCGTTACGCTTCGAAGCGAAGATCTACGCGGATTACGTGGTCCTACGATTCGCGTCCGCCATCTTAGAGCAGTGTATATGATCGACGTTGGCCGATACCGCTCAGGGCAACGATTCAAGGACGATTTGCGTCGACTGCGAGGCCCCCGAAACGAAATCGTCAGGAAAAATAAATGGTTGACGGGAGACGGGGCTCCCGTGTTAAAAATAAAGAGACTCTCTAACGTTTTCGAAGGTGTGTCTCGAGGATTGCACAACACGGTTATGAGATACTTCGTTTTACAAAATCTTAGCTGCACCTTAGGACCTATCGTATGATATCCTTCGTACGCGAATATTGCACGCTTCGTACAACGGTATACACGCGTACAGCGAGCAACTTTTTGATTCGGACATTTTGCAATCTTTACTTGGTCGCTTTATATCGTTTGTTTACGATGAAAGATACAGTAATCGAGGTATACATACCATTAAACCCTAATTAACAAAAGTATCAAGTTTGAAAATCGAACACAGTCATCGATACTCTTCGTTGATGTTTTGTTTCTTGTAGATAGACTCTGTTTTAACGTTAACGTTTTGATAACGAAACACTGAACTTTCTATAACTACAAAAAGTTTCTTCTTGCCTCAAAATGGGACATCGTTTCGTTTGAGTCTCATTTTATGAGAAACATTATAAATTAAATACAGAAGCTTCATACTTTTATTAATTAAACTTTAATGCTACATATAGCCTGGTTACTCCATCTTTTATCGAAGATAAAATTGTAAAGTGACAAGGGTAAATATTACGAGATCTCCGAATATTGACGTTACTCTCTGTATAATTATATATTTATATGTATATATAATATATATATATATATCACATATATAATATATAGTCTGCATACACAAAGCATCCGAAGTTTTTGTTACCGTCACTTTTTTTTTATTTGCTCGTATCTTTTTTGTAAAACTTACCCTACTGTACGGTTTTTTTCATCTTCTTCGTTTTGTTTTCACACAGTGCAAAGATAATGATAATAATGTTAATTAATAATTAATTGTTTCGAATCGCGGAACGAGCAAGTTTCGTCCTCGTGTCCGAAATTAATGTGAAAAAACACTCACCCTCTCTCTTTCTCGCTTTAAACGCGCGGGTCAGCCTATCGAATTACACGAAGAAAAAACGTACGATGACGTTAATAATAATGTTCGCGGGTTTCTGTCACTGCCACTCTTTCTCTCTTTTTCACTTTCTCTCTTTCTCACGCACTCTCACATGCTTTCATGTGAAACAAACAAACAAAAATTGAGAAGAAATACAAATGTCGTTACACGTCACAGCTAACCACAGCATTCGGCAATTATGTTTCACTCGTTTTTTTTTCTTTTTTTCTTTTTCTTTTTTTTTGTTAAAAATTACTTATATCACAATGAAACGCCAGCGCATCCTTCTGATCGTCTGATCGCTTGTTTCGTGTCGCTCATATCCTGGACGCGGCATTTTACCTCATTCCTTGGGTCTTCGTTCTCCTGCTCACCGACATTAAAGATGCGTCTACAGGCTCTGGCAGGTTTTGGCCTTGATCCGAGGATTTACGGATGGTCGCGACGACGTTGTTAAGCGGGGGATCCACGTCACTCAAACGAACCGTCCGGGAATGAAAGACGAAGCACGGTTTGTTCATTAGACGTGGATCCGAGGGTTACAGGGCTTCTAACCAGGCAAGAATCTTGGGGGTCACCTTCCACCGGGGCACATGATTACTATTGTTGTTGTTGAGGATGTTGTTGTTGTTGTTGTTGTTGTTGTTGCTGCTGCTGCTGCTGTTCATGCTGCTGCTGCTGCTGCTGTTCATGCTGCTGTTGTTGTGGTTGCTGCTGCTGCTGCTGTTGTTGCTGCTGCTGCGGTTGCTGCTGCTGTTGTTGTTGCTGCTGCGGTTGCTGCTGCTGTTGTTGCTGATTTCTTGCTAATAGATTTGTGCTCTCGCTCACTGGTTTTACACGCACTTGAAAGAACTTGATACCGCGCGGCACGTTGTACCGGTTCTCCGTCTGAAAGGTAAAGATTCGATTAACGTAGTTCTGCAGAATTAAAGACTTCCCCCTGCATTCCCCAAAAAGACACTAATCACAGTAGGAAGTCTTTGACGATATGTATTTCAAATGTATCAGATATAAAATGTGTCTATAGAAATGATCCTTACCCTTTTAGCAAGACAGTACTCCTTGTCAACCACCTCTGCAATGGTTTGAATGCTTTTCGGTGTTCCATCAGGATTCAAACCCAGATCCAATTCAGCGAAGCAGTCCGAGGTAAGGAAATAGAAAGTCGGCGACTCCTGGTACAGGGTATAGTTCCCGTGTGTCGGATCCCAGAACACGAGCACGATGTCCCCTGGATTGCAACTGGTCACGGTGATGCGACCCTGCGCCACCAGCTTCGACGCGAGCTTCTTCATCTTCTTCTGGCCGTGCGTGGAGTAGAAGCACGTTTTGCAGTCGCAACGACGATTCGGTTCCGGACTAGTCGCAGCGTCTCGACTTGATCCTGACTCGGCAACCACAGCAACAGAGGCATTCATTTCCTTCTCGCGACTACCCAACGAAGACGATGACTCGGGAGTGGCGAAACTCTTCCTGGATCGTTCCCTGTACAGCTCGATCTCCAAATGCCTATTGTCCGCTTTCAGAACCTCTATCTTCGCGTCTGCCGACTTCTTGCCCTCTTTAAGCGACTGCAACTCGGAGTTTAGTCTCTTGTTGTCGTTCTCGAGGATTTCGATTTTCCTAGACAGACAACTCGGATCGTCGCTCGCTTCCAATCGCACTTTCTTCGACTCCGACACCTCCACCTCGTCCTTCTTTGCTTCCAGACTTTTTAATCCTTCGTCCTGGCTGCCCTCGCTCATCTCTAATCCCTCGTCGCTGGACTCCTGACAGAATCCGGATTCGGTCAGGATGTTCTTGACGTTCTCGAACCCTGTCAACCGCCTGATCATGCTCTTGTAACGTTGACACTCTTCGGTGAGCGCGACCTCTCTCAGTTTGTACATCTCCACTTCGCGATCCTTCTCCACGACCACTTGCCTCGCTAATCGTAACTCGTGATCCAATTTCACAACGCAATCCGCTCTTCCTTTTTCATAGTCCTCCTTCGCCTGGGCCAACAAGTGGCTGGTCAGTTCGATGACGTCTGGTCTCTGGAAAACGAGAAGTTCGAGAATTTCTTTAATTTCCGACTTCACAGAACGTTGAATCACACCCTGGTGCCATATATGTGTATATCACACCCGCATGCCATATATATGTGTATGTCACATGCATTCTTAAAATTCATTTATCCTCTTCTCGCGTACGATATCGATACTATAAAAACTCGCTCTCCCTCTCTCGCACCAATAAATATACTTATGAGATGATTCGATATTAAATATACTCACTTCGATTTTCTCATGCCTGGAATCGCTAGAGCTCGTCTCCATGGTGGACGCAGTCATCAGCTTGAATCGACTTCTGATGGTATCCAACTCGGTCTTATACTCCATCTGCAGCTTGTCGGTAGCGTCTTTCACCATCCTCTCCTGATCGCTGCGAGCCGCGTTCAAGTTGTCCTCGAGCTCTTGAATCCGTTTCTGGCACCGCGTCACGGAGTTGGTCAACGACGCGATCTCCACGAATCTCTCGTCGTTCGCCTTCTTCACGGCGGCCTCCTTCTCGCCGCGAGCTTCCTCCAGCGCCTCCTCGAGCTGTCGATGCAAACGCGTCTGAAGATTTCTCATCTCGGTTTGCTCCGTCTCCAATTTCTGACGCATGGTGGAGACTAGACGTTCGTGCTCCGCCAGCTCGGTTTCCTTGTCCAGGAGGTTGCGTTTCAGCGTGCAGATTTCATCCTCCCGACTCTGGATCAGCTTCTTCACGTCCGACATCTCGAGCTCGTGGTCTACGGTGAGCTCCTGCTCGCGTTCGCGAAGACGACGATCGCACTCGCGCGAGTACAAAGACAAGGCCTCGCGAACGCGCTCCGTCATCTCCGATAGACCGTTCTTGTCCTCGGTGGATCGATCCCTCATAACAGCCAATTCTTGACGAACCGAGGTCAACGCCTCGCACACCAAAGCTTTCATCGTCTTCAGGATGGAACGAAGCCCCTCGACCTCCTCGCGCGTGTTGCCAAGATTCTCCTGAAATGTTCACCGCCACAGACGTCGCGATAAGTAACCAACAACGAAATCCTACTTACGAGCTACGCGTACTACAATACTTATAGATACAATGACAACTTGTTTCAGGACGGAAGAATCGATCGGTCGATCGGGAGTGTGAGAGAAATCTGACGAAAGAAACCTTCAAATGTGTCCAAATGTGGTGATAAAATGTCGTGTGTGGGTTGCATCGAGACGTGAGAACAGTCAGTCCGGTGGAAACGATCTCATTCGAGCTTATTCTGAAAAACGTACTCGCGATCGATTGTCACGGGAGATACGTTTCGGGTCGGGAAAATCGGGAGAACGAGTGCGACGGCAGCTATCCTGTAAAAAAAAACTTAAAACACACGCAACGCTCACACACGTGGCATACACGCAAAAAAATTTGGCTACAAATAAACGGGCACGCAAGCACTATCGAAAAGATGGCAGGCAACAACGGGGTCGACAACTGTAGACGACAGGCAAGACATACATACCCACGTATCAGGATTGACTTGCATAAAATCAGCACTAATAGCTTGGGTAACGAATGTAAAGACAATGACAACGAAAGTACCTAGAAACCACAGAAAAGGGAGATAAATGGGGACGGAGATATCGATGCGAACGACTAAACGTCTAGCCAACGTACGAGGGATGCGGGAGCGTGACAGTGTTGGACAGATAGGTGTGAATCGATACACGAGATAACACGAAGAGGAATCAACGAAGAGATTCGTAAAGCGGAGAAGGTAAGCAAACAGTGTGTACACCATCGGGAGGATGTCGGCGGTAGTGGAACGTTTACGGCTACGACTACGAGGTCTGTTAGCGAGCTGTAAGTCGTCCAGTACCTGGAGAAGGGAAATGATAGCCTGGTGCTGGCCGTCGACTGGAGGCTCGCTGAGACTGCTCGGCAGAGATTCGTCCATGTAATACTCGGTACCCACGAAGTCGGTAGGGCATACTCCAACGGAAGGACTGCTACCGCCACTCCCGGACAGCTGGTGACGCTGATGCTGCTGGCCGTCGCACATCACGGGCCGTGTCAAGGAAGAAGGATTTGGACTTAGGGAGTTCGGCTCCTCGGCCATCGTCGAGGATGGCAAGTCGCGATAGTTGGGAAGACCGTTCGTGGCGCGATGAATCGGACAGCTCGACTCGCCGTTTTCAGCGCACTCGGTGAGCGGACTCAGCTGAGCGGGACGCTCGCTGATGGTCAGACTAGGAAAATGGAAGGATCCAGGCTCGCTCGAGGAGGATGATCGGTTCGTCAGGTCCGCGACTTTCGAATTTAGCGAGGATACGTTAGTTGAGGTCGAGGAAGCAGGGGACACGCTTCGCGAGGCACCAACCTCCAATTGCTTCAGACGCATTTCTTTCACGCCGTCGAAGGACTCTGGTTTAGAGTCCGTGGCGCCCTGCCCGATCTTCTCGAATTCCTCTGTGTCCGTCTCCGACTCGAAACCACCCCTAAAGTCACACAATGTACAGTTAATTACAAATAATAATATAGCAAGATATTCGAGGCTGTAATCATACAGTCATAAGCCTCGGTTAGAGTATCAACTATTATTATAGCAAGTTGTGTATACTTGATGGAAGGAACATAGCTGGATACCGTAGGTACCCCTATTTCTACGTCAGAACTAGGACAAATAAAGTTGTGTATCGTTGATGGAACTGCGTCCTACGTCTGTCTGTTCTTGCTTTCCTACGCTGTATATTTTAATGAGACCGCTAAGCGAGATCGTTTCGTAATTGCAAAAGTGAATAATTCCTATTCTCTTCTGGGAACTAATTTATTTTAATAATACATTCTCAAATCACGATACGTATGTTGTCTGAGAATCCCAATTAGAGCACGCAAAAGACTTCCATTTCTATTCATGTTACGAAGTTTACAGAAAAATAAAGCAATTTCTAATCTTAGGTAATTGTAGCAAGAACCATGAAAACATTCATTGCTAAACATTCACGGTACAGTGCTGCCAGCTTCGCGATGCTCAAGATTTACTTAATACGTTACTGTTCAAGAAGCATAAACGATCGTAGCTGAACTCTTGATCCTCGACGTGCGGGCGCGCTACCGTCTTTACCGCCTACTGCTTTTACGGCCTCATTATATTCCTCCTAGCGAATGGAATATACCAAAGTCGTAAAAGCAGTAGAGTGTAGGCGTACTCGAATGTCGAAACTGGAGAAACAAGAGACAATTTTGTATCATTTTCGTACACCGATACATTAATGGAACGCTGAAGAGGACAGTCGTTGCGAAGTTCTGCAACCCTTTAACGAGTGACGAGAAACACAGGTGACGGCTTTACATACCACTTGAGAGTGCCTCGAGTATCCCGCTATATCCCTTCCACGCGGTACACAAGACAGGGATCGTTAAGAACATCTTGTACAAGTAAAACGATGTTCCCACTTCGTTTAATAGTCATTGGGTACCTGTCGGACAACATTGGACCTCTTGTTCGTCCCTGTTCCTTGGCAGCTACGTCGACGCGCATGGAAGTACTGTCTTTCTCCTTGTTTCCATCGGTGCTGGCCTCGGTCAGACTCTTCGACAAGAAAAACTGCGTGATGCTGTTCAAATCTGGCGAGGAGACGGTCAGTGCCAGATCGGGTAGCTGCGATTTCAGAGACTCCATATCGTCCTCCGTTAACTGTGACAAGAATACAATCGCGTGAGTCCCGTTTTCTGCGAGAGAAGAATTCCTATTTGCGCGATGATGGAGATTGAAATATGGAAGCGTTATGGTTTCATGAAAATATAGAAATTACGAGGGGTCGTTGAAATGTAAACAGGATTTCTTTTTAACACAGCTTAGGGCTAAGGGTTAAAGCTCTATTGCTAGAGATGATGACTAAGAATAAAATGCGGGTACCTTTGGCAATCCATTGTCGAAAACGGACGGTGCTTGGGTTGCGAAAGGTGGCGGCGTGTCCTCGAGGCCCGGGAACAGGGTGTTCAGGAAGTGACCGTCGAATTTGCTCTGAAACTCCCTTCGACGGGCCAGTTCCTCGCTGTGAACGGTGAGGAGTTGGCAGGCGAGGTTGCTGGCCCATACGAGGAAAGCCTGGGAGAAGGTTCGCCTTCGAACGACTTCGGCTACCGCGTTCATGTACATCTGTGGCGCCAGATGGATCTGTTGGAGCACCTCGAGGTGTCTCCTCAGACGCTTCAGGCTCTCGTGATACATGACGAGTTTTCCGTCCACCTCCATCATCTTGTTCTCCACGTACATTATCCACTTCAGCCGATGATAGATGTTCACAGAGAGCTCCTCCTTCGCTTTGGTACACCTACGACGTATGTCGCGCAGCTGATTGTGATTCTGCAGCATCACGAGTAGCTGGCGTCTGTGCGAGGTACAGAGGTCGGGTAGCACGCTAGCGTCGCCCAAGTTGTTGGCTCGACTCTGATTCTGATGGAAACCCTGGGCCAACTCTCCCTGCTCGAGTACGAGCTTCTTGGTCTGCGCCATCAGTTGCTCCAGCGCGAACAGTCTCTCACCCAAGCCCTTTATCTCCTTCATGTCCTGCTTGTTCGCGTTGTCTATGGCCGCGTTCACCTCGACTTTCAGTGCCTCCATCACCTTCTCGTCGAACTGCTCCAAGCCCCGTGAACACTGTTCCGCTACTTGCTCCAAGCTGCTCTGATTGTCCTTTGCTGAAATCCATCGAAGCAAGCTCAAAACTTCGTCCCTACCGTCCGAATCCTTCTCGGATTGGCTCGGTTGGTCGTCAGGGCTCAAGAGGCCCTCCGCTTGAGCTCGTAACGCTGGCAGAATTGGAATCTTCGCGAGTGTCCCCAGATCAGCGTTGAAGCTGTAGCAGTGAATATTCGAGTGTTACAGTTAACGCGTAATCGTCGAAGAAATGATTTATAAGGACAGTTATATTCACAATCTTAATCGAGTTTTAGCTATTACGAGCTAAAATAAATGAAAGTAATGAAACCCTTCTAAAAAATTTTCCAAATGCAATTGAGAACAGTTAACGCGATTCCTACGATGACAAAGACTTCTGCTACAAGGAGTAATTTATTTCATTAAAATTCTATTATGTCAAACGAGTCTTTGCTAAGGTTATACCGGCTTCGGATAGGTAGAAAGATTGAAATCCTTTTTAAGGCTTAAGCGACTGCGAATGTGGTGAAGTTCGAAAGGTGTAGCTGATTTCCTGGCATCTCACGTTCAGCTTTTAACGGATGAGGACTTGCTTTTGGCAGATGGCCAAAGAAAGTTACTTCTCGAGATGGAATCTACTCCTGACAATGATCCAATGGGTATTATTGAAATGGCAACGGATAGTTTAGAACACTACGTTAGCTTACCAGATACAGTAGTGGCAATTCTTGAGAGAAAGAAGTCTTGTGATAGATACAATATTACAAAACGCTACAGCATGTTGCAAAGAAATACTTCGTGAAAGGAACAGTTCGGTCAATGACGCAAGCTTCGTTGATATCTTATTTTAAAAAAGTACGACATGCATCTGAATCTTTAAAAGTGGCTAGCTTTATTACAAATCACCAGACATAGTGCTTGGTTCCTTGTGATGGCAAGATCTCAATCTTTCTTGAACCTTGATTTTCTTTAACCTTACTCCTTAAGTTCAACGTAAGTTCTTCTCTTTATCCTTATCCTTTATCCTCATCGTACATTTTAGTCACGACCGGTCCAACCATTGACAACGTAACGAGTAATCGTAAAAGACTTTTGTGGAAAATTAAATCATTACTCATAAGTTAATTTCTAGGTTGCTACGTATTATCGCATACAATTTATATCAGCTTTGTTCTAGTATTACCATAATTATGCACGCTTCCTCAGAAGTTGCATCAGTGTTGCTTATCGATGTTACGTCGCATTATATCTGACCTATAGAATTCCTCAGAAAGCGACAATGCGCGGAATGCGTAATTAATTGAAAAAATACTATTAGATGGCTGAACGTAACGTACTTCCTTATTCAAATGCTAAATAGCTACGAGTGGACTTTATGGAAATTAACGTAAGACCTGAGCCTAAACGCGAAATATCAGGTTGCAATTAGGCAAGTAGTTTAATGACGTTAACTTTAATTACTTACCTAGAGATCACTTTTAATTGAACCGTGAATAATTACTTTTAATTCAGACATACCGTCGAGGCTATTTCGATAGATAAGCTCTCGTATCAAATTGTATATTTAATATCATATCAAATAGTAAATACATGCATGATACGACGTAATGGTACAATAATTGGCCAAATAAAAATTGTTAACTTTGATAAGCATGTTCGATAAACATTCGAGGATGTTTTATAATAAATTTGGCCTTACCAGTTGCGTGTTTCTTATAGTTACCACTATTTCATAAATGGCATAATAGACTTTCAAATATGTGCTTCTACTTTTATGTAGCATTATTTACTAACGCAGATTATTAATTTCGATGAGGCTACCAATAAATGATTCGCCGTCGACGTTTTTCATTGGAATATAGAAAGAAGCTCAAGTACAGTAGAGCCTCGATTATTGCAGGAAATTAGGGCTGGAAATAGTTGCAATAAACGAGGTAGCCAATTCAATGCTCAACTTCACGCAGCATGTTCCCACTTTTACCTCACCCGTTATGCTCGTTACTTGGAGATCATACATTCCACTCGACGATATCGTAATTGTTCTATTGTTCTTACTTTTCAAGTAGCTCCATGTGCTGCTGTCTCTCCGAAAGGTAGACAGCGAAGCTCTGTTGCAGAAGATCTGCCCGCGACTGGAACATCTGCGTGATGTCCTCCAGGTTCGCCACCACGGCGGCCCAGCCTTGTTGCTGAAGGTGTTGATCGTGCACCAGCCTCTCGCAGATCCTAGTTTGCTCCCGTGCCAATCCGCAGCACTGTTGAGCCAATTGAGCTCGGGCAACGAGGGTCTGGTAAGTGGCTGGCATCGCCAGCGACGCGTCGATTTGACTCTGAAGATCGACATCTGTGGAAAAAAAAAAGAAACAGTGTTTTTATTGTCTCTTCAATAGCAAATCGTTTAGTTTACCTAACTACGTCTGCTTTATCAGACACGTTTTCACATCCTTCTACGTATTCTATTACGACATCTCGTATTACGTTCATGAACTCTGGCCAGATAGAATATCGTTGGTCGATCGATCATCAAGAATGGTAATTTCTATTATATCGAACTTTTATTTCACCCGAGTGAAGAACCGATAACCCAGCGTTTCTAACGGAATAATTAATGTCGGTGGCAAACGCAATCGTTGGAATGATTGGGCATGAGAGGGCATGGAGAGGAACTTAGATAAGACGACAGATGTATCTTTTTACTTCTACGCACTTGTCAGGCGAGTCATCGGCTATATTAACTAACAGTTTGGTACCTAGGTTCAGCCACGGCAAATGACTCTATCGGTACAAGATCGAAAATTACATACTCGATATATTCCAGCTCTGTGGTCAAGTGATTAAATGGAGGATGATTTATCTAAACGTATATGTATAATGCAATGCTCTCTAACGAGGCTTAGAAATATTCTAGTACTCTGAGTTCTCCAAGGACTACCAATGAAACTTGACACAAATTTCAGCAAAGTACTAATAGATCACGCTGCATGAAAGTGTTGTTTTCGTAGGTTGAAATAAAAACTGTCAATTTAAGAAGGAACTATGCCATCGGTTAGATGAAACACGCAAACATCTAAACATCAACTCTAATGATCGTACATCAGTAACTTCTTGTAATAACAGGGTAATAACAATTATCCTTGATTCACAACCAGATCTGGAGAAATTCCCTTCTATTCTACCTCGAATAGAGCTTCGTTAACCAGTCAGTCGTGTTTGACGAGTATACTCGTCATGGAGAAAAGGCAGTATTTTCGTCATCCGTAAAATTTAGTTAGTTCAGTTTTTTGTTTAACATGTACGTAATATATGTTTATGTCATCGCTCGATTTTCACGACACATATAGGTGCACGCTCTTAAAAGGCGGCGCCATAGCTGACTGGTTAAACTATCTCAAGCCTCTTATAGGAGACGATATCCACCTAAAAGGAGCGTCTAAGGCAGAATCGGTTAGAGGAGCCTAACGACGAGTCCCCCAAACGTATCCACGACGCAACACCGCGACTTTTATTACCCGAATACTCCAAACGAATAACATTCACGTGTCTCGTCAAACTTTACTCCGGAACCCGACGTTATCTCGTTGGATTAGCGGGCAAACAAACGTTTCAACTTGTCCAGGCGCTGAAGAATCCAGCTCGTGTAACGATGTGGCTAGTCTCGTAGGAACCAGGTCGCGCTAGGTTTTACGAGATGAAAATACAAGCTGAATCCGGATGGCAGACCCCGGGGGCAACCGTCGTGTCGTAAAACAGGACCCCCGCGGATCGATAGCGACGAAACGAGAGCGAGCAGACTGGAACAGAGCGAACGCATCCCTATCGAGCCCTAGCTACAGCTGCTAAGTGCTAGCTACACAGGATGAGCCATTTAACCCTTTCGTTTTCAAATTGTTAAAGAGCCACGGGCAAAAATATTTGTTAACTGACCAATAGATTTGTGAAAGCAGTTTGCTATTTTGAGAATGTCTGAGGATTCTTTTTGTGTTATTTTTATTAAATGGTACGGTAGTTTCGATTGCGACGTTCTTATGCTCGATGAGATGGAATACTTTCTTTTGCTGTTGGATGTCATAATTCTTCACAACTTGTGTTTATAGTAGTCGATATCCTAACGCCACCTGTAAACCCCAATAGCTTGTTGCCTGTGGCACCTGTATATCTTAGAAGATGTATCCTTCTGTATTTCTTTAGTTGAGGAGTATTGTACACATATACATTCATATTTCAAGAATACGAATATAATTTATTTGTATTAAAAGTAATCAAAATTAAAACATCTCTAACATTGTTAATTCTTTAGATTCAACAACAACCTCTGGCAAATATATTTCTCAAGGTCTACACTTTGAGTAAATACTCCCCAAAAATACATTTAAAGTCCTGGACTAGAATACACCCTTAAGATTAAAGTTCGTTAACGTCAATCAAGGTCAGATAAAAACACGTCATGAAATTGACTATATCCGAAGACTTTTGTACTCGGAATTCATTGTTCCATCCAGTTCTGGCACAGAAATGCAACGATTCTAATTAAAAGAGGAATCTTGGATGGGTCTACCTACGCGAGACCTACTGGCCCCAGAATGTCCTCCTCTTGAAACGAGGAAACATCTGTTTCAAGCCTGTTTGTCACCAGACGTATCGGGGTGACCCGTCTCAGGTGCCACAGCCGATATAATTGATCGACGCGAGGTTCGCCAACGTAATCTTGGCACGCGATGAAAACTCAAGGTCGGGGGCACGGCGATCCGTTTCAGCGGTCTTATGTCAGAAGCTGGACTCGTGGATCAACTGCAGCGCCGCGTTACTCTATCCAGTCTTCCTGATTGGGCGTCAATTGCCTCCGGCGTTCTTCGCGAAACACGACGGACGCCATCCAGCGTCGCGCTAAGCTGCCTCCTCGCGTGTGCAACACGAGAGGATAGGTTAGTGGCTCCTAACCCTCTATAAGTGTCCTAGATATATATCTAGATAGACACGTATACAGTCAGATTTCTGTCGCCGACAATGATTGCCTTCAAAAGGGTATCGTGAAGACATCACATTGTGTAACTCAACTAATGAATTTCTCCTTTTTGTTGTTTTTCAACATCGTTGGCTAATCCTTTGGTTAACCCTTTCGATCCAGGTTGGACATACCTTAGTGTTCCAGTGAATATATCTGGTTTCGTTGACTAAATTACAATTAACCCTTTGCACTCGGATGTCTCTTCTGAGGGGACATCGTAAGTCCAGGCAAACTTTATTAGTGATTACACAGGATAGACTCATGGTAGCGTAAAATTTGTAAAAGTGTATGCTTCCTTCAAGGTTTCTATCCAAATACCACGAGAAATAAAATAAAATTAAGATATATACATATAACAAATATAGGCGTATAGTCTAGGACTTTTAAGAATCTATTTTTTAGGGACACCTCAAAGTGTAGACCTTTAACCATATAGCCTATAACATCGTCTGGGATACGTGGTATGGAATACGAGCCGGAAACAAGTACCACGTATCAGGGACGTGGTCGACCTACTCCAAAAGGCCAACGCGATCGACTATAGCCTGGAGTAGTGCGATTTAAATCATAGGTTAAGGGGTTATGAATATATCTGATACAGGATTTTGTTGAATTCGGTATACGTGTCTGGTATGAATAACTTTCAACGTCATGGACACAAAACTATCTCGTCGAGTCATAAAAAAAAAAAAAAAAAAACATTAGTGGCCTAGAAAATTTATCGAAGTGGGACAGGAATGTGATAGAGCATGCTATCCTGAATTGCAGTATAAAACTAAAAGGTCGTTGCCAGTGGTGGTTTTCGTGGCACAGTGGTTAAGAATCACTGAGCCAGAATCATTGACTTTACTTGGGACATCCGTAAAACGAAAAATTCATGGCCAGGGGAGCAGAGATAACCAGGCGATATCCTTTTGATACCTAATACGTGCCTAGTAGACCGAATAATGTCAATTCCTCCCGTGTACCTCAACCCCGTGGCCATTCCTCTCGAAATTGGACACTTTTTCGAGTAACAATTCACATTTGACTGAAACTTATTTACGCCGTCTTTAGACAACGTAAATAACTCTCAGCTCTTTACAGCTACTTGAAGAACTTGAAGAATTATACCTAATTTTATTTTGAGGCACTTATTTTCAATAAATGATGACTCTCAACGGATTATCGTAAATTTCGAATGCTATCAATTTTACAACTCCTCGAAGAACGCCCAATTTTATTCAGAACTACCTATTTTCAATCAATTATAACTGTCATTATTTCCAAACATAAATAGTTCCCATTTTGAGTAAATTATCACTGTCGCTAGATTTTCTCCAATTTTCCAATTTTATTCGAAGCTACCTATTTTGTAATCAATCACGTGGAAATTGTAATCAAATGAGACCGAACGTCTAAACAAATTTTTGTTTAATTGTTTCTCTCTGCAATTGTTTCAAACCAATGCGATAGCAATGCTTAAGATCTCTCCCATGTTTTTGCCCTGAAAAATAACTTTCGAGTGTCTCATGAGTTCTGACTCTCGTCTTCGCCGTTTCAGGATGATAATGACAGAGCACACATCAATACCAATGCATCATCAGAACCCTGACGGCGCTAAATGCGCGCAAACTCGACTGGCTATTCTAGGCCATTGACTGGTTATCCTCGCCTTTTAGCCACCACACCGCAGCATCCATCGTCTCTTGGAGCAAACCTGCAGACAGGCGCCCTCTGTTTCTCAAGCATGAAAAGGTGGGTCCGTAATCACAGGTGATAAGTAGGACCGAATGAACGTCACAACGTGGCCCAACACGCTTTGCCGGAAACAGATTTTGAAAATATTTTTCGAGGTGTAAATTCTCGGACCAACTAATGACACTGTGTGAAATATTTCGTCCCAATTAGTATATTTTATGAACAATCGAGATTTGCAGCACGAGACCTGAAATTTATGTGTCTTATAAACGAAACTTTTGGAACTTGAATCCCTGTGAATTCTAAATTCCATTCTCAATTCTCAGTTTGAATAATAATAGTTAAGTGATTAACCCCCCTCCTCCAAAAAAAAGAGTACTCTCTTAATTTTTATGATTTTCACTAGAAATAAATTATGTGATAGTCTTAAAATATAAAAAAAAAATGCCAATCAATCAAAAGAAAAAATTCAAAGTACCTGAAAATTGACGCCCAAAATTAAAATAACCGCTTAAGAAACGGTTTTATGATCTCGTTGAACAGAAAAAGAATTGCATACCAGTCGCATACGTTGACACGGTTCGTCATTTACTTGATCACTATTTTGCTCGCCTCTAGTTAAACAATATCAATTGTTTTAAGTGCATTACAACGACGAT